TTACTTTGGCATCTTTTGGTGCCTTTTTTTTTATATTTTTTTTTACTTTATTTTGTTTTCATTTAATATATAATTGTTTTTTATATATTTAATTCAATTCTATTTATATGTGTCTTTTTTTTTCTGTTTTGTTTTCAATTAATTTGTTTATTTTTTTTGTTTTCTTTTATTTTCAATTAATTATTTAATTATTTTTTCCGTTTTAGTTTTTCAATTAGTTATTTTTTTTGTTTTGTAATCTTAATTTATGTTTTTTTTAATTCTAATAATATTAGTGTATTTTAAAATTTAAAATTGAATATTCTAATTAAAAAATACATTTATTTTTATTAAGAATAAAATAAAAAATAGTATTGAATGAGTGGTAATTGGTCCCATATGTTTGTGTTTAAATGAATGATTGAATGTGAGTGTGTGTTTAAATGGAGAGATGTTTAGTGGAAAGATGATGTGGAGATGATGGATGAGAGAGAGTGTAAATTGTGATTAAATGAATGTTAAGGGATGTGGATGTCGTAAGTGATGAATAGTTAAAATTATGTAAGTGGATCAATATTAACTTAAAATTGATGAGATATGCGAGAATGATTGATTAATATTATTTTGTAACATTGATAATACTGATAAGAGTTGTGTTGAGTTAAATTTTAGTTGAATTTTGAGTTAAGAAATTATGTAGTCAGTTATAACTGAAGATTGTATATCCAATTATGCTATCAGCGATACAGTAAGACTTCGTTTACTTAAGCTGTTAGGATATGATATGGTTGGATAACTCATGTTATCCAATGTTTACTAACCATGATGAGATTGAATAATAAGTTGGTGTGACATGTGGGTCCCACAATTTTATGCACGATTGTCATTATTATTTTATCTGATCTTGAGGGTGGGACAATTTAATCCCACATTATAAATGACCATTTTGTCCAAAAATTAGAATGTAAATATCCCTTTTACCCATAGAAGTCCATTAAATTAAAGATTTAGGCCACATAAAATTTTCGTGTGGGTCCCACATGTTTACCTCATATTTTGTTTTCTAGCATGTCATTATCCCGGTTAGTAATTGCATGATTGGTTTTGCCTTAAAATAAATCATACTTTATAAACATTATACACAAGCTGACGTGTAAAGTTTTAATGTGATTAAATTTGTCCAATCCCATCATATCCAATATCATGAAGTATAAAGTAAAAGAAGCATAAAAACAAGAAACATCAGAGTTTCTCGCTAGGTATTTGACCAAATACAATCTTCAAGTTCCCTAGAGGAGTATAAGGCTAAGAGCAACTCCAACGGAACCCCAAAACCAAACGCAAGACCAAAAATTGCTCCAACTAGTATGCAATGGGTTTTTGGTCACTTTCTCTCTCCTTCAAAACACATATTTGATTCTCTATTGTTCATATACTCAAATCTTTTTTCTTTATTTGTGTTTTAGCTCTTCTATTCTCAAGTTTTAGCCCTTCTATTTTCAAATATTAGGTTTTAGTTTATTTATAAAAATTTATGATTTGTCTATAAATTGTTATTTTTCTATATAAAATTTTAATATAAATATGTAAAAACTCACGAACGAATTTTTTTCATATAAAAGTTTAACGTAAGTGTGTAAAAATAGACGAACGATTTTTTTTTTTTTTTTTTTTTTTNNTTGGCATAAAGTTGTTACTTTTTTATATAATAGAAGTATAATAAAACTAGTGTACTAAATATATTTGTTTATCTATAATTTGTATTAATACATGTTTTTATTTTACATGTCACAAATAAATATTAAAAAATTAAAATATGCACAAATAAATTTATATATTTATATAGGGTGTGCGTATCATATAAATTATTAATAAAAAAAATTATGAAAGTATATGTAATATATTTCTAGGATAATCCTTTGAATCAAAAAATTAGGAAAGTATTTGTACAATATTTATAGAATAATCTTAAGAACGTTTGAATTAATTTCAGAAAATTTTAAGAAAATATTGATAATAAATTTAAATAATATAAACTTCTTAAAATATTATTCAAATTTGAAATAAAGAATATTGTAATTTTTTTACATACTCGAAAAACATGCATTAAATATTTTCTATTAAGGTTATGTTTGATAAAACTAGCTGATAAGCTAGCTTATAACTTATATGTAATTTTTGAGCTTATAGCTTATAACTTATAACTTATAGCTGAAAAGATAGCTCATATGATTAAAGTGTTTGGTAAAATTAGCTGATAAGCTAGCTGGAATAAAAAATTCAACTAGCTTATTTGAAAAGCTACCTAAAGTAGCTTATGAGATAAACTCGAGCTTTTTAGAAAAGTTCGTCTTACCAAACGAGACTTATTTAAATATAAGAAACTTATAAACCAACCAAATAAACTATAAGCTAGCTTATTTGGCTTACAAACGTAGCCTAATACTTATTATTTATTTAAAGTCAATTATTTTTTTTGTTCAATCAAATATAAAACGATTTGGGGTCTAATTTGTAAGACTGTTAAATATGTAGGTGGTATTGAATAGTTGTAAAGTTGATGTGGATAATAATGTTTTAATAATATTATTTTGCGTTTGAAAATGAATTTTTCGATCGGAAATGAATTTTTGTTTGATGTGATATTTAATAAGTTTGATATTGAGTTTTTCGGTTGAAAAAGGTCTAAGTCGAGCCAATAGTTTTTTTTTTTTTTTTAGGGTTTTTCATGTTATGGAAATGCAAAGTATCAATCCCACATGAAGTTTGTGAATAAGAGCATCTCCAACCGAATACACCAAACTCAAACTCATTTTGCAGTACACATTCCATTTTGTAGTAATTCATCTCCAATCGAAAAACCCATTTTCCAACCCAAAAGAATATTCCCGAAATATTCTCTTTTACATCAATTTTTATAAATTTTTAATACTACCCACATATTTTACAAATTTACAAATTAAGCCACACTTTTTTATGTAATAAAATCGGAGAAATAAATAAATAGTCATTAAAAATAAAAATTAAAAATTGAGTGATTGTTTGATAAGATCATAAGAGCAAGGATTAGCGCTAAAATGGGAGTGTCTGATTCAGGGTTACCAACTATACAGGTTGCAATTTCAAAACCCTACTAATGTTTACAGTTCGTGCAGAAGGGTTCCTCGAATTTGCATCTCCACTTTCTAAAAAGCTCAGAAGACACAATTCAGAATCGAGCATCCCAACTCAATAGTGGGCTAAAGTTTCTGCAACTATTTCCAGTTATGGCGTTTCTGTTTCAGAAATTTCAAGAGGTACATTTTGTATACTCCATTTTTAACTGTAAAAACGACCCATCATCTTCCGGAATATATTCGATCAGCTAAAATGCTGCATAATTTGTAAATTGTTTAGGCAGTCAAGGTGCTCGCGAAAAGTACAACGTTTGCTAGAGATGGAAGGCATCTTCAATTCGAGGCGGATATGAACAGACTTTTTCTTTATACCAGGTGAATGTCGATTGTGTGTTTGAGCTAACATTTTGAAGTGTGATTTGTATTGTGATTGAAATCTCGGCTGGTGGTGTTATCTGTTTGAACTTCATTTCGTACTTTGAATTACCCTTCAAAGTGGTAGCATGTGTGTCGAGGCGACTTACGATATTTTGTGGTTTAGTGAAGTGTTTTATGGTGGTTATATCCAAGACCTACGCATTATTATATGTGATCTGAAAAATGGAACATGTTAGCCAATTGACCTTGAATATGAAATCTTCATCATGCAGCTACAATCGCTTGGGGAAAAATGCCGATGAAGCAGATGCAGACGAGATAGTAGACATTGCTTCCAAGGCATCTCTAGCTGAGCAGCAAAAGCAAGTTCAAGAAAATATTCACGCTCAAATGAATACATTCTGCACCTACATGGATGGTATTCTTTGTCCAGACTCAAAAAGAACGAACACGGTCAACCCGTCTTCAGAAGTGAATAATGCTCCAAGACGCAGTGGTCTTGGCCTTGCTGTGGGCAGGACTAACCCTTTGGATGAGAAGTGTGAGTGATACTGTTGAGTGTTTAAAATTCTATTCATCTTCTTACATTTTTCAAATTGCTTTTACTGAAGATAAATAGATTACAATAACTACACCTCGTTCATGTTCATTGTGCTTATGTTGAACACGTGTTTTCTTCACATGTTATTAAGGACAAACACAAAAACTACTTTTCAAGTAGAACCATTTTTTGTTTTTCAAGGATCATACTCTTATCAGTTATCTGCCAAACATACAAACACTCTTCATGAATTTTACATATCCTTAATATGTATCCTCTTTTGGGTGTGCAATTTGTTACATTTTTATCGATTGCAATTGTTATTTGAAATATGGCTGGGGTAATTAATTCTAGCAATCCTTTTGGTGATTACCTTCTTTCTACATAATGATTTCCTGCACTGTTTTCTTTCTGAGAGTTACGACAAATGATGATCCCTTTAGCTCTGTTATTTAACAACCCATGTAATCTCAGGCACTCGTATGGTGGACACAAAGCCTCTAAAACGTTTTGAGCTCTCACAGAAACTAAAAGACCTCACTGGATACACTCTCCAAATCAAGCCGTCACAAATCCAACACGAAGACGCGGGCCAGGGTTTGTTTTTGGATGGTGAAGCTGATGTGGGTTCTGTAATAGCTATATATCCTGGCATCACATACTCTCCAGCTTACTATCAGTATATTCCCGGATACCCAAGAGTTGACCTGAAAAACCCTTATTTGATTACGAGATATGATGGGACCGTTATAAATGCCCAGCCTTGGGGCACAGGTGGTGAAACTCGTGATATGTGGGACGGGTTGAATTTTGAGGAACCCAAGTTGAATGTAGAAAGTGGTGAAAATGGCTCAGATCGGGTGTGGAAATTGCTCAGCAAACCTTTGGATGGTTCGCGGGTCGGAGTTAGAAGCGTAATTTTGGAGAGACGGAATCCGCTGGCTTTTGCGCACTTCACGAATCACCCGTCAAAGGGCATGGAACCGAACGTTGTGGTTTGCCCTTATGATTTTCCTTTGAGTGACAAGAGCATGAGAGCTTATGTGCCGAATATTTCGTTTGGAGATGGGGATGGTGCGAAAATGAGGAAATTTGGCAGCTTTTGGTTTAAATCATGGAAATCGGGCAACGACATGAGTACCGATGTCCCGGTTTTGAAGAGCCTTGTTCTAGTTTCCACGAGAAGGATCTGTAATGAGGAGGTTTTGTTGAATTATAGGTTGAGCAACTTGAAGCGTAGGCCTTCGTGGTATATCCCGGTTGATGAGGAGGAGGACCGAAGAAGGTGGAGTTAGGTAACTTTCTTAGGAATTGACTGTCTGATTAAGCATGGAGTTCCTTTATTTTTATTTTTTTTTTAAAATGAGAAATATTTTGTGCAATAGCGTTGGACTGAGGCATAATGTTTTTTTTTTCTGTACCCCTTTTGATCCAATTTTATCCTTTCCCTTCCCTGATATTGGATTTCGATAAGTTTGTAACCAGTTTTGGCCTGGGTCTGCAAGAATAAAAGCAAAAACAAACTACTGCAACATTTTACCATGGTAATCTCCTGTTGGAACTCATGTTGCAAGGTCAACTTTTATATATTTGTTATGAATGGGATAATTTAACATCTGATGGTATCTTTATTTAGCCCAATCTCAGTGGAATGATTTTCCAACATCATTAGTTCTCTGTTTCCCTGTCGTTGTAAGATGCTACAACATAGTTCTCGTAATTACTAAAGATATAACTTGAGTTCGCAATATTGTTTTGAGCATAATCTCTAGGAAAGGTACTTGACCATATTTACTTTTTGGCTTAACTCCAAGCGGCGGAAGGACTGCTTCGTCAGAGTATTCAGGCACTGGTTGTTGAGTGCGCAGGTCCATCTTCTAGGCCCAAAAAGGGGCAAAAACAAGAAGAAGACCGTAGGTACGACAAAGGCATTGGTGTCTACACTCGCCCCTACATCGATTGCACATGAGTGACGATGAAGTCAAAAGGTAGGTGTCACCGGTGCTAGCACCCAGGACACTGGCAGGCCGATTGCCATTTCCTCAGGCAGGCCGATGGAGGTATATCTTTCACACTTGTTGTAGAAACATGTTTATCAGTGTTATCAGTACCATGTGTGTAGATAGATGTGTAGATGAGGGTTACTGATCATGTGTGCAATTCATTGAATAAGTTCTATAAACCAGACGACTTAGAGAACGACTTAGAGAAGGAGATATTACCGCCTACATGGGCAATGCCACGAAAGCGGAGGTTGTTGAAGTGAGAGACATTTATTTTTAATTTGATAGAGATGTGTTCTAGTTTTGAAAATTGTATGAATGTTTCGTTGTTTAGAAATAATTTGATTTCAATTTATGGATTGTTACCAGATGGACATTTTGCTATTTTTCGTAATGAAGTTATTCGCAAAAGTGAATCGTTCATGTATTCTAGTTCATTAGTAGGTAATTTTTTATTCGAAAATCAGAATCTCCGACAATGCAACAAAAGAAAATTTAGAGCTCGACTTCTATCTTAATTTAGAGAACGAACAATCGAAAATAATCAAATATATCTTTGTCATCGTAGGTTAGGTCATATTAAGTTAACGGGCTTTTAGGCTCATTGGAAGCTGCAAAGAACTCTCCGACTTACTAATCCTTCCAGTAATCCGTCCAGACCAAATGCCTTTCAAGGCTAAGGGACATATAGCCAAGACGTGCTGGATATGGTTTATTCTATTTTGTGTGGTCTTAGACTATCCTGGCTAGATGTGATTTTGGAGTATTTCGTGATTTTTATCGACGATTACCTGAGATACACGTACAGGTTACCTGATGCATCGCAAGTCCAATGCTTTGATATTCAAAGAGTAGAAGGTTGTGGAGAAGTATCATTGTAAAAGTATCAAGATACTACAGGCAGATTATGGTGGTGAGTTCCAATTAAGAGAGTTTAGGAACTACTTATCAAAAGCTATGACTGAATTCCAATTATCAGCAATGAGTACATCCCAACATAATATTGTGGCAGAGAGCAGAAATATGATGCTAATGGAAATAGTTAAATCAATATTGAGTTATTCAGAATCACCGGATTCTTTGGGGGTGTGCTCTATAAACTATAGCGTACTGGTACATTTCGAGTCAATCTATTCTATGCCCACTGAACGGTGGATTGAGCACTAGCCTAGTTTGAAACACGTTCATCGCATGTATTCAAGAGAGATATTGATAAGTTTGAACCTCGTATTAAATTAAGGTTGCCAATGTATTCAATAGCATATTCACAAGTTTTTCCCTTTTAATGTTGTAACTATTTGGTTATCTCATGTACATTGTCGTGTTATTAATTCAATTTGATGTTTGGTAAAAAAAAAAAAAAAAAGTAACTCTTTGTTTTTCACTAAGAGCAGTCAGTCTTATGCACATTTTACGCACCTGACACATATATTATAATGGGCTGAGACTATTGTGATAATGGTTCATTATGAAAAAGTAAGAGTGAATAATAGCTTTAAGATCTGATAAATCCACCGTCAACGAAAAACAATAAGATTATAAAAATATCGTGCATAATGAACATTTTCCTTACGTCGAGGTCAACCCCTCATCGTCGCCACCATGAAACGGGTCTAGGCTCAATAGCGTCGCAGGCGCATCAAGCAAACATAAATTCATTATTTCAGTTCATAAATCTGCACCGTACATTCACATATTTCAACGATAAGTGTCTAGTGATACATAATATTCAAAAGTCATAATATTGACAATGAGTGACCCAAAATAGTATTCGTGAATACATATCATAATTGTTTCAATATCCCAAATAAAATAAAATACACAAAACTAAGCTATAAAGGTACGTTCTACTTGTGTCATACTTTGTTGATTGTGTGTTATTGAAACACTGACAATAATAATAAGTGATGTACATAATATTACATGTGAATATGCACATATGCCACCACTTGAATATTTAAAAAGTAAATAAAATTATAAAAATGTCACTGCATTTTTTTACTAAAGTTTGACTAGTTGTCCAGATTTAATGCGTTAATTTAATCATATCTGAGGGTTATAATATTATATATTACTCTTATTTTTAATACCTAAAATGTAGGGTGGTTAATGTTGGATTCAAATCTTAACTGAATTTCTTTAAGTGTGTCTTTATAAAAATGTTTTAAAAATACTATGAATCAAATTTTCTGTTTTCCTTGAAAGATTTTCTTAAAAATACTATGAGTTTTTCAATCTATGTCTACATAAAAAATGTTCATTTGATTAGCTCTCATTGAGAATCTTCAAAAGACAAAAATAAAAAATTCTCTCAAGTGGGAGCTAAATTCCTTCGGTGAAGGTTGATCGTGTTCTTGATCGTTTGCAAGTCATCTCCAGGGGTTTGCTAGGATTCTTCTGCTCTTGATATTTGTAGCCTGCTTTTGGCTAGGGTTTCTTTTTGGGGCTTTGTTAGGTCTGGATATCGGTGGGCCCTCAGAGCGATGGCGGATAAATCTTCGGGGCAGAGCTCTTGTGGGGACATGGATGAAGGAATGCTAAGAAAGTTGCAGGCAATCTCATTATTGGCAAAGGAAGCGGGGGGAGTTGAGCTCATAAGTACATACATTAAGGCAAGTGAAGAAGAGTGCAAGATTAGTCTCTTTGGAAAGGTTATTGGGGATAGGAAAGCTGGTATTATGGGGATCAAAAGAACAATGACGTCTATATGGAGGCTTCAAGCACCAATGGAGGTTAAGGAGCTCAGTTCAAATTTTTTCCAGTTTATTTTCACCTCAGTTGAAGATAAGAAGAAAGTAGTCGCTGGGCACAATTGGCTATTTGAATATCAGTACCTAATCCTTAAGGAGTGGTTTCCTGGCTTATCTAGTAAACATTGTTGCTTCGGGGAGATCACTCTATGGGTACAAGTTATTAATGTGCCTCTGAATTGGATGAGTACAGATGTTGGGCTTAAGGTGGGACAGATTTTTAACAGTGTGAAGAATTTGGTGGTTTGCAAGCTGGGTGGTGAGGCAGGGAGTTTCTTGAAATTACTGGTTTCATTGAGCATCAAGGATTCTATCCCTAGATATACCTCAGTCAAATTGGGTGATCAAAAGGTGCTTGTGGCCTTTAGATATGAAAGGTTGGTTAATATATGCTATTATTGTGGAATGTTTGGGCATTTAGATAGGGGGTGTGCTAAAAGACTGGAGGATATAGAAAATAAGTGTGTGGTTGAAGGTCAATTTGGGGAGTGGCTCAGAGCTAATGAGACACTTGCAGAAGGAAGATATAGTCAATCAGGCAGCTCAGGTGTCAAAACTAGCACTCCAATCCAAAACTCTAATCAAGATTCATGGGAGCCTGAAAATTCCATTAAAACTCCAGCTTCTCCTAATGAGACTCGAAATTGTGTGCATTCTGATAATCAGCAAGTGGTCCTTTCTCACTTGAGGAGTCTTCAGTCTGAGGGGGAGGAGCAACTAAATATGGCTATCATTAGAAGTGTAGATGGGGCTTTGGAGCAGCATGCGGCCAATAACATCCCTGATAGTCTCATGGACATAGAAATTGTAGTGGCAGATCCTTGCACCTGGGCAGAGAGACACATCTGTTAAAAAGAAAGTTGCATCCCAATGGAAAAGAAGGGCTACTTCAGATAGGAGATTATTGAGAATCAATGAATTCCAAAGGGGAAGAGCACCTTCTGTTGATCTGAAAAGAAGCATGGATCTAATTATCTATGAGGAAGGTGAGGAGGACACTGACCAGGTTTTGGTGGATAAAAGGCAGAAGATTGACATTAAGTATTCTAAGGTGGAGAAGGCCAGCCTTAAGTGGCCCCGATGTGATCAATGAAGGCTATGGTGTAGAATTCTAGAGGGCTGGGTGGGCCCTCTACAGTTTCCCAAATCAAGGATTCCAGAAGAATCCACCACCCAAATGTTATTTTTTTTTTTCTGAAACTAAAAAGTCTAAGGCTTTTTCTCTCACAGTGTGTAAGAAGTTGGGCTTCCAGGATAGATGGAATTTGGAGAAGCTAGTGGGTACTAAAGGAGGTTTGTTAATGATGTGGGATCATGAGGTTCAAGTGAAGCAGATAGTGGGTACAGATTTTTGTATCCAAATGGAAGTGAGGGGGGCAGGGTTGACTGATTGGGTTTGGCTGGTATTTATCTACCCCAGTACTGACAGGAGCATCAGAGAGCATCAATGGCATTATTTAGAGGTTAATAGAAGTGTATGGGATGACTGCTGGGTAGTAGCTGGGGACTGGAATGACATTTCATCAAATGAGGAGAAAAGGG